CCTCGGCATTGATCAAGTGATTTTCTTGATCAAGTGAAATGTTTGTCCTGTGCAACGTCGAGCGCGGAAATTCAACGTCCATTCTTCACCAGTTGGCGATTCAGTTGAAGTCATGTAGCAATGTCCCGACCTCGGAGTTATGCAGGAGTTCGTTACCACGGGTCACGAGATTGAACCAGGCGCCGATCCAATGTTTGTTGCAGAACTCTAACTACTGCTCTATACTCCCCACATCCCGTAATACACAATTTCATTCTGGCCAAATTTCTTCTTTTTTTAGTAATATTTGTATTATATGAGACTTGCTTATCATTCTACTTCACCAATCCACTCGAGAAGTCACTCTATTATTGGCAGTGGGTGTCCTACCACTCCGTATTATCTTCGCATATTGATTTCCTTATTATTTTATTGCTTCTGTGTATATCCCTCTGATCCAAAAGGGCTGCGACTGCCTGTGGTGGTGACTACCTGGGGCAGACTTTGGCCAGGCTTACCTCAGGATTACAAGGAACCACAGTGGCTAAGCCAGCATACCTCCGAAGAAAGGAGGATTAGGCTGCAGCCCGCACAACCAGTGAATTTCCCTAGTTGCTATACACACTTGAAGTTCGATATGAAGACGGGTCGTCCAAGTATCCAAGTAACTAAGCATGCTGTCACACATGACCTCTTACGCTTCAGACGCATGAAGCCCAAATCCGGGTAGTATCGTGTTGAGTCCCATTGTATGAATAGTGCAATAACAGTGTAGTGAAACTGATAACAATAATATAACGTATAACGGCAAAGGATAAAACTCTCGGCGCTGATCCATTCCTGAGGGATGCGCCATAGATTCGGCTTCACTAAACGTCGTTAGAGGTGACTGAATTCATATCTGACCTATACAATGACTCTCGCTGGCCTAGCGATTTATCACTTCACCGATGTTATCCTCCTAGACAAGTCTGGTGCTAATCTGTGGATCCCGAAGAAATGGAAGGCTTAGTGAGGTCAGGGCGTGGGACCGAGCCAAAGGCTACGTTTGTGTCGCAGGTTGCCTCTAATCACTGCGCCACACACACCCTAACATAACCAATAGGTTGTGAGATTCTACCACAAGAACTTTAAAAGTATTATTGAACTTAAATGAATGGAGAAGGCAAAATTTCCCAATAAGATTACTTTTGAAAAAAATGAGTGACGTTCTAGCCGATGAAGAAGAGCTACCAATTGAAACGAATAGATTCTGGTTTTTTGAGTCCGCGCAAAGGAATTTCATCTGATAAAGGTGTTCTCGTCGCATGTTACAGTGGACGCGAGAGAACATAACAGATAAAACGGTATGTATTAAACTTCGCTTGTGCAGTTTATTCAGTAAGTTCATCAGACAAAGTATGCAATTTTCGGCCAACGTGCAATGCAGTCTGCTGTCGACGGTTCGATCCGCACCGACCCAACAAAGCAACCATTCGAGTAGATTCACTTCGTCCAACTTGCGCCCACCACACATGCATTGAACAAGATGCATCTCGAGCGTTTTGTGTTAACGCTTACGCAACAACGTGATTTCAATAGGGGTTATACGAGGCGAAGAAAAATTAATGCTTTCAACTTCAGAATATCTCAGCTTGTCGCAGCTTTCACAAATTACAATGCTTTGTAATTTGCCGACCGCGTAAAGACGATGGTTAGCAAGCACAGTGGTAGTGAACGCCGTTCATCATGAATACGGGGCTGGACGACAATCCTCAACCTGCATCTGAACCCAGCTACGAGAAGATCGAAGTTTTTCATCTGATGGATCCGATATACGAATCGAATGCAAGTTTTTGGGATCTGCACAGTAGATATGAAAGATGGATCATGTAAAAGAAACTGTTTTAAAAAATTTACGGATCTTTATCCACAATATGCTGGTTATTTTATTCCAGCAACTTAAAGTTTTGGTTCTATGGAGCCAATGGGACGGATCTCATTCATTTTTTCTGCGTCAGGACTCACTTTCCAAACCTTAGTAGAACTGAACAATCGTGACTCCGTTAACTGGAACGTAATGGCAGGTCAGAAATTCACACGGACTATTACTACATCATTTGTAAGACTATTTTCTCTCTACCATTCGACAAATTATTTTGGAATTTTGCAACATCTTTTCTCGAATGATGTTACTGGAACTGTTCTTGAAACGAGGAAAAAAACGTTCTGGATAGATGCCAGGATCGACTTTCTATTAACCTCGGCATTGGAATATGAATGCGTCGTTCTCTTGTTCAGCAATCGCGAGGTTTTTAAACAGCATACATTTATTTCCATAGAAAAACACAATACAATACAACGCTAGCTGACGTTTCGGCAGTATCGCCTTCTTCAGAGCCGCTTTTTCGTGANTCACGAAAAAGCGGCTCTGAAGAAGGCGATACTGCCGAAACGTCAGCTAGTGTTGTATTGTATTGTGTTTCTCTATAGAAGTAAATGTATGCTGTTTAAAAACCTCGCGATTGCTGAACAAGAAAACGACACATTCATGTTCTGGATAGATTTTAATAGTACAGATTGGCGCACCCCTAAGGAATTGACCAACACCGGGAGCTTTATCCTCTGTTTTCATGTTCCTTAATACATTGGAATTAAATCTTTCCTTCTCTCTTTAAAGTGATTATTTTACTTGAAATTTGGAAGCCTTACAAACATGGCTGGCCATCTGACCCAGCAAGGCGTGGTCAACTAGCGGCGTGTTACGAAATTTGAAGATCATTATTCAAGTGCGAAGAAGGTGGAAGACCACTAAAGGTACACGTGTTCAAGCTGATGTAAAGACGCCCAAGAATTGTAACGGTATAATTCGAATTGCAAAGCAATAGTGTGGAAAGACTTGGGAGAGGAATCTGTGTCTCTTCATCCTTCGCGATACCAAAAATGTCAAAAAGTACGTCACAATACTGTCAGATGAAATAAGACCAGTTACCAGTACTTCGGAGAACACTGATGATTCGACTTTCATCGCTCAACCACATTTTGTTCTAGTTGTTCTTGAATGGCTGAACACCTACTCCGCCACTCATCGTCGTCCCCATCAGTGAGCAGTTAGTTATATACCCCAAATACCATACGACTTCTTTCTTTGAGCTTGGTTAAAAGAGTAATTGTACTCAGAAGAACAAACGATTTTGGAAGGACTTGAAGAGTAGTGAATTCAAGAAAATTTGTATTCCATCCACAGTAATTCTTGATGCGGTTCACGGACTGTTCGTGGAACTGGTGGCAAATATCGACGCTGATGTTGAACTTTAAACAAAAATTCATGCTATACGCCTTTTTCTCATACCCACCTCTTGTTAAAATTTTGGTTAAGAAATCGCAACGGTTTACCGCTTCATCGTGGCTGGGAGGTGTTCCTGGGTGTCGGACCGCGGTGTACAGTGGAGAGATTCATTTTCACGGCAGGTTCCCCCATGCTGAGTCTGGAGTTTCCACTAGGTAACCCATCTAAGAGTAAATCAATACCAGGATCAACCACCGTCCTGTTATCAAACTAGTTGCATGCTGGCAAATCTCCCTCTTATCAACAAGAGCGGCGACTGCCTGTGGTGATGGCAACCTCGCGCAAATATTGGCAAGGTAGCCCTCGGGCCTCTAGGTAGCCACAATAGCTAAAACAGCAAAACTCCTGAAAAGTGGAAATTATGCTGGAGTCCACACAACCAGCGAACATGGGCCAACTAAGTATCCGAGTAGAGTTAGGAAATAAATTATAAGAACTTTAAAGTAGGGATTGACTTCCCATCACCGTGCAACCTACGTTCTGCTCGATTTTTCGAGTGAGCAGAAGACCACTACAGAAAGAACTCACTAAGATAACCTACTGTCAATCTATTACTGATTACCCGTAGATATTTCAAACCATCTAAATTGAACCATCACCTGCAAAGTTCTCATCTAACGTCCGATTGAATCTGTTCTTCGGTGATTGAGCAAGTGCGCCATTCACTACAGCGTTTACGTCATTTCATACATAGTTCTTAGCCAAACACGAAAACATTTATAGGTCTTAAATAAATATTAGCTATTTAAGAAAGAACTGAAGACCGTTGCTTATTTCGGCGACCTAAATCAGTGGCAAATCTACTCACGTCCATAACAGCCTTTCGTGAAACTCTGCCCAAAATGTCTCTACTTTTACTTAATGCGTAAAATTCTTTCCACGTCTCAATAGGATGTGCAATACAACCACAAGCGTACTAAGGTACAAATAAAATCCAGAAGCTCAGGAGAACTTCGAGCTCACGAATATCCTTTCTAGTGGCTAATGTGTTATCCGCCACACCAATGGGCCCTTTGCTTTGCCTTCCCCTCATCCATGTTCTTACTCTCCCACTTTTCTTTACTTTTATATTGCAATGAAAAAACAATAGACAGTAAATAAAAACCAATATATTGTACTTTCAACTCCAGCTTCAGCTTAACTTGGTCCAATGCCGATTTGTGCTGCTCTTACCAGTTCTGGGTGACTGTTAGGAGCACCGATAAAGTAAAAAAAATGCCTGAGATAATGGCAAGCCACGGACCTCTGCTGGTGTGGTTAATAGAACTTGAGAGGCCGTTAAAGATAATCGCGCGTTCGAAACCCTCCTGAGGTCGAGAGCGTAGTTCATATCTCAGCTTTCTTGTGGTTATGTGTCCATAACTAGGATCTCTCGAATGAAAGGCACAATAGTGCCTTTACATATCAGAAAAGGTTATTCATGGCTGTGTTGACCTTGTGAAGTGACTTAGCACTAGCTAAAGGTTTCCAGGAGCCCGAACTTGCACAAATTTCGTAGGAATTGAAAGTTAATAACAAGGCCGCACAAACTGCTGAAATGCTCTACCAACCTTCATTTTTAAAAACCAAAAACCATAACAAATGACAGAATACAACGAACCTACTGAACTGTACCCGCGGAAACTTTATTTGCCCACATTGCAAAACGAACCAAAATAATTGGTTAATTAACTGCACTTAAATACACTATTTTCTAGTCACTTCCGGATTCACCTGTGTCGTTTGGAATGTGGTCAGCACTCTCATAATCCATATTGCCATTGCCATGCGTTGCAGAAAACGACGAAGGACCGGGATCGCTAAAAGGACGACGGTATTGAATTATATCGAGTCCTGCATCTACCGTGATTCTCCAAAACAAAGGAGAAATACGCACCCAAACGTAAATTTTTTATTCATAACCGTGGAATCTTAAAGAACTGTCTTACATTGCACCGTACTTCCTTTTCATAACACGCTCACGATGCGATGAGGATTCAGCTACAGGAGGATATCCACCATTTTCAACAGCCTTGTTTCCGGTGCTACGTTCGACAGTTGCCCCTGATCCCCTACCACGCCTCTGCATGTTCCTCCCGTTAATCTGAATAACCTTAACTGTGTATTTAAAAACACTGTTTATAAGCAATAATGATGACAGTCACAACAACCATAAGAACAACCACTTCTACATGGAACATGTACGATGTTAACGGGCTGCAAAGTGCAGCGGTGGATTCATCCGCCGGTAGGGTCTCCTAGGCTCAGGAGTCAGGCGTTTCCACTAGGAAGCCCAGCTAGGAGTAAACCAATACCAGCATCCACCACAGTCTTGGTATCAAACTAGTCGCATGGCGGCAGATCTCCCTCTGATCCACAAAGGCTGACTGCTTGTGGTGGGAAGGACCTGAGGCAAACTTCGGTTAGGCTGACCTCTGGACTCCAGGGAATCCCAACGGCTAAACCATTAAAACTCCGAAAAATGGAGATTGTGCTAAGGCCTGCACAACCAGTGAGGACGGGCCGTCGAAGCATCCAAGTACGATGTTAAAGTCACAGCTTCAATTTCCAAGAAAGAAAAGCACGTACCATCTTCGGAGATGACGTCGCATTCCCTTGAACATTTGAGACAAGACCAGTCTCTCTTCCCATTATGGTATGTTTAGGTGTAATAACCAACTAAAAAGCGGGAAGTATTGGAAACAAGATCCTCGAAATAGCTGAGAACAAAAACTAGCCTACCATATATATATGTATATATATATATATCGCCTCCCAACGGTTTACCGCCTCATCGTGGCTGGAAGGTGTTCCTAAGTGTTGGACTGCAATCTACAGCGTGGGAGTCATCTTCTGGCAGGGTCTCCCAAGCTGAGAAGGAGTCCTGCGTTTCAATGAGGAAGCCTAGCTAAGAGTAAACCAATACCAGGATCCACCACCGTCCTGGTATCAAAGTCGTACGGTGGCAAATCTCCCTCTGATCCACAAGTGTTGCGACTGCCTGTGGTGGTGAAGACCTGGGGCACACTTTGGCCAGACTGACCTCGGGATTCCAGGGAACCACAGTGACTTAACTAGGAAATCTCCGAAGAATGATGATTATGCTGGGGCTCGCACAACTAGTGAGGACGGCCCGTTCAAGTATCAAGTAAGCAAGTACTCTAATGATGAACTCTACCTTCTCAGCACGATGCTCTAGATCGTTTAGAGCAGACGGCATTTCCGAAATAAATTCAACATTTTCATTTTTCTTGTTTTCATCCGCGGCAGACGATGCTTCCGAAAGGATCTCAATACTTTCATCTCCAATGTTCTCTCTTAGAGCAGCTGGCGTTTCCGCAATGAATTCAACATCTTCATTTCCTCTGTTTTCCATCTAAACAAATGCAAAATTAATTTCAACTTCAGTCAAGGAAGCAGTGTTTGTCAAGGGTAATATGGAAGGTCCAGACTAATCTAGGCTATTTCGATACTTCACCATCAACAATAATCTGGGTAGAACTCGAGTGGACCCCGTCAACAAAATACAACCTAGGTGATTTCATCAATAACATCCAAAAATGTGACGTTCAGAAGTATTGTGATACTTATTGTGATAAGAATAAGAACTTGTTGAATCCCCGTTGATGGTAAAACACAGCTTGATGTAGGAATAGGCACCTCCATACGCAATGATCCCGCTTGCGATCTTGTAGCACGTGGGGCTCGAGCAACGTCACCATCAAGAAATCCATTCCGATGCTTATCACGAATAAGCCAAAGCAGAGAGATTAATCATTGAAATAAATCATGCAATCAAGCACAACCCACGTACCTCGCGGCGCTGGCGATCAGCTTCTAGATCCGAATGGTTAGCATTGTATCCTTCCTGCTTAGCTCTAGCTCGTGTCACGTAGGGACGTTTACGGAGAATGTCAGGTCTCTGCATCGTTCGCAAATGTCGGGACTTATTCTCATGGGTGGGCCAGTTTCTGAGTGAAGGAAAGGACATAGAGTAGATAAAAAAGCAAAATCAATGAAAGCACCAGGATTACAAAAGCTAAAGTAATCAATGAACGACCACGGATTAGTTTTGCAGCCTTTATCCGAACAAATATAGAATATCATCCGAAACCTTACAAGGAGTCCAAACAAATTAGTTTTGGTGGATGCCATCAGTCAGCAGAGCGAAATACGCTTGCGGACTTTCAAACACAATTTACCAAGCATACTACTCACTCGTGAATACCGTCATCATATTAAAAATAATGCCTAAAATATGATAAGAATGGAGAAACTGCGAACCTCGAAATATTCCAACTTTCCATCTGCTTAGATTGATGATTTACAGGGGAAGATTCCATAGATGCGTCAGGATCACTACCATTCAATGAGTTTCCCTATAAACGTAAACACTACATAGTCCTTTTTCCTTACTGCCTAACCATTTTCTATGGCAAGATATGATGTGAAATACAACCAAAATCACAACGAGGTTGAGATATCTGCAGAACTCTGGTCAAAAAGTTGACACTGTGATTTCGACTACAGTCTCATCTCAAGCACAGCGTGGAGAGGCACATTCTCCCAAGCTGAGGAGTCCGGCGTTTTCATGAGTAATCCCAGCTAAGAGTAAACCAATACCAGGATCCGTCACCGTCCAGGTACCAAACTAGTCGCATGGTGTCAAATCTCCTGGTCCATGAAGGACAGAGAACAATAATGGCTAAAGTAGCAAAACTCCGAAAAATGAGGATTATGCTGAGGCCCGCACAACCAGTGAGGACGGACCATCCAAATATCCAAGTAAAGAAGTTACAGCTTAACTGGGTTCAATGCCAATTTGTGCTCCAAAAATCAATCCCGGTGACGAGTGATTGGTGATGGCAGTTTGATAGAGAAACCAGCTGAAGAAAGGTGAAATGGGAGGCCTGATAGTGTGGTTGCGAACGCGTTAACCTCCGTAAAGGATAATAGCGTGTTCGATTTCCACCACAGATACCTACGATCGGGAGTCTTGCAAATAATTCAGTATCATTGTGGTTGTAAACACGATTTAAAAAAAGAAATGCTAGTCATGGTCGCTAACTAGTGGTATTTCTAAATGAACAATGTTCATCCTCCACGTACAAGATTCGAATCTCTGCGAATGTCGTCCTGTCCCAGAGCATTACGAATAAATTCGTCCATGACAGTGACAATCCTGTTATGGAACTCATCGGTTACGTTTTTTATAACACCAGGCAACTGAAAAATGTTGATGAAATACTAGCAACCACCAGAACCACTGGAATATTGGAACAGCAGCGCGTTAAAATCATACCTGCTGTAATTTGTTGCACAATTCCTGGACCATTCTAACCTTGCTATCTAGCTGCTCAGTACGAGAAAGCAGCTCGAACTGCATACCATCGGCAACCCTTCCAAATGCTTCCATAACGGTCTGCGTACTCTGCAATACCATTCTAAACAGTTTTACAACAAAGCATAGATGATTCTTGGACTCATGAATCGGAATCTGCGCAGAAGATAAATCTCATTATCTTTCCCCATTGGCAACGATCTCTGTATGTTGAGAAGCTATGGATTTAATTTGAAAAACATAGTTTAAAAAAGCTGTTCAAAGTAAACAACCGAAGAGCAAACACATTGACATCAACACATCATTGAGAATGTATTGTTAGTCTGGTAGCACAAAACAAAGAAAATCCGAAAAAGCATACCATCCGGAGATATTCCCGCGTTCCGTCAGCTACTGCATCGAATTCATTCAAGACTTGGTCAACAGATTGATAACCACGACTAGTTGCTTCTGACACAGCATCTCTAGCGACCTAAACGAATCCGTCTGTAGTTCTGGTATTTTCACTCAAACATAAAAAAGATAAAGTTCTCGTAGCTAACCAATCCCTGAAGGATACGTCATACGTTCGACTTCATTAGGTATCGTTGGAGGTGGATGCATATCTGGCCTTTACAACAACTCGCAGTGGCCTACTGATGTCTCGAGCCAGTGCTACTATCATCCCAGACAAGGCTGGTATCAATTTGCCAATCCTGGAGGAATGGAAAGTTTGGTGAGCCATGGACGCGGTAATCGATCCCTTGGGTGTATTGCAGGACACCTACGACCACCGCGCCACACGCGCCCGCGTCAAACAGATAAGTAGTATAATAAGCACGCATCACGCCTCTTAAAATGGAAGTTACGTGGAGAACCTGCCAGTCATAAACATCACGAAGAATATGCTAAACGATAGACCAACTAACCTCTACGTCATTCCTAGTGAGAAAACGTCTTTCCTCAATTTTGTGTCCATTGTGACTTCGAAGGCAGCACATTGAACATAGCTGATGCTGGAATTAAGCGCGGCACATGAACTTCATGTAAGACGAAAGGTAACACGTTATTTTTAGTTACAACTACAACAGTATCGTAACACAGTGAATGTTGGATAAACGAAGATGCTTAAAGCTGGCGTTAGATGTGAGAGTTTAATCAACTTCTCTGAATAAAAGCTCCAAAGCTTTCTGCGTTGACCAATCTCTGAGGGATGCTCCATGCATTCGACTTCATTAAGCATCGCTGGAGGTGACTGAATGTATATCTGGCCTTTACAATGACTCTCAGTAGTCTACCGATGTATCGAGTTAGTGTTGCTATCCTCCCAAACAAGTCTGGTACCAATTTGCCGACCCCGGAGGGATGTAAGGCTTTGTGGGCCAGTGGTGCTTTTCTGAACAATTTATGGAAAAAGAGAACTTGACACAGTGTCCTGAACTAATATTCGTACTAGAAAAATTATTAGTCAGATACGCTGCGTAACTCACCACGTTTTCGCCAACACATGTCAAACAAACAAGGTATATCCCTTTGTGCATCACGTCATTGCAAACCAAACATCTAGGGTGACCGTCCGTGTCCGCTTCATTTGAAGCGGCGTCTCGAGAATCAAGTGAATTGGCGGCGGCACTGCTGTCAGCCATACGATCCAAGACCTCTTAAACAGGGAAGGACAAACTCAAAAACTAACCTCTTGCAACATATACTTTCCAAAGAAAACGTTGTTTCTAGAAGTTAACAAGCAAATGAATAAAACATTGCACCCTGCAAACGAAAGTTAACTGGAAGTCCTTCTGGTGGCACTCTGGTGGGCTGACGACACTCTGGACACTTAATAATATGGTCACCACCTCCCATTAAATTCATTCGACGATGGATGAACGGTTGCTGTGGAAGAATAAGACATTATTCAAACATAACCCTACATTTTAACGCTTCCATGAATCAAACAAAAACAATAATACAAGGAAAAAAATGAATACCTCATCGTGTGGAACAATATTGCGAACTAGATATTGGGGATGTGCAAAACCTCCTAGTCCGGGAATAGGAGGATGTGCCATATGAGCAATATGCATCCATATCTCTCCTCCCATACGATTCTGCAATACTTACCATTACCGTCTATATGCAATATGCATGTTGACATATGCAACTGTATAAATGTAAAACGATAAAAAAGGATAAAGCTCTCAGTGTTGATCAATCCCTGAGGGATGCGCCATGCATTCGACTCCATTACGCATCGTTGGAGGTGACTCAATCCATATTTGGCCATTACAATGATTCGTGGTGGTCTACCGATGTATCGAGCCAGTGCTGTTGTTCTCCCAGACAAGTCTGGTACCAATTTGCCGACGCTGGAGGGATGTACGCTTGGCGAGTCTGGGCGCTGAGATTGATCACATGGATATTGCAAGGCGGATCCTACCAACACACGTATATATGGACATATACTTACGATATGTATAGACGCGTATAAACGTATATATACATAGTACATACACATATACATGTACATATAGCATAAATATGGATACAAATAGTCAATTGGCTCTCCCTCAGTATTTTGAACTGCTTTCGGCTTTAAAATATCAAACCCTAAGGTAATATTTCTATCGTCGTTATCTTAAGAGCGCTCTGTTCATAAGCTATGGCGAAAACCTCTTCCCGTACAAGAAGTCGACATTGCTGAGACCAGGAAACGGGGCAATTCTGCAACTGCCTTTACCCTTAACGTCGAGGAAAGCATAACATTAAATCTTATAAGGATAAGACTTGACAGCATAGAGCTTCACTGTTTGAAACGATTTCTTTGAGGTTTACATATGAAAATCCTCCTGTGTAAGAGTAAAACCTAGGGGTCATACTTCTATGCACGAATTTCAGAAGTCTCTTCTTACAACATTCGGCTGATCCATTCCACGATTTACGTTCGCTCTAATAGGCACCGGCTCTGGCGGGATCATATTGAGGAAATTATCGTTCCTGTTTCCACCAGCTCGAGCATCGGCAACCTGAAATAGCGAACCCTCTAATAAATTCCTGAATACGATAGGAGAGCTCCAGGTAAAATGACAAATATTCTATAGTATCTCAATTCATCCAACAGTGTAGTTTCGGACCAAAACTCTATGCCCAATAGATGCGGTCTTCAAGAAAATGGTAACCCCATATGGTAAGTCAAACTACTAACCAATCTATCCACACAACTACTACAGAACGAATGTCCACAGCTTAGTTGGAGTGGTCTTTCGAATCGCAGGCAACATATTGGACATTCCATGACGTCATGAAGATCAGGCGTGATCGAAAAGCCACTTGAGGACATTCTAAAATAAATAAACTTATCATAAAGCAATTCTCGAGAAACATCTTAGAATCGACACGGAAATATAATTAAAACAGCAGCCCACCAAGTAAATTCTACGCTTTTCTTTCAAACAAAATCTATACTAGAACAACGCTGATGCGTGAGCAGATTTGCTCGAAACACAAAATCTTGCGCTAGACTGAATCACGTCCGAGTCCATGCAACTGACTGAACTCGTCCATCAAACCGATGCTGACAACTACTGGATGTGTTTACTGAGTACAGGAAATATAGTAAGAATTCCACGTAGATTTTATTTACTTGGATATTTGGACGGCCCATCCTCACTGACTGTGCGGGTCCCAGCATAATATCTGTTGTTTCAAAGTTTTGTTAGCTTAGCCATTATGGCTACCTGGAGTACCGGGGTCAGCCTAGCCAAAGTTTGCCTCACGTCGTCACCACCACTGGCACTCGCCGTCTTTGTTGATCAGAAGATTTGCTACCATGCGATGGTAAAATTGTGAATCATGCTTGTTTCATACTGTTGTTCACGATTAAAAGGCTCAAACAACAGTTATCACACACAATAGGGCTATCCGTATTTCTTAAGTCTCATCCAAAATCGAGCTGTCCAGAAAAAGAACAGCATCTTAAATCTTCTTATCTCGTCTATCTCTATCGAAAAGTCCAACCGGAGAGAGAATTCCAAAAACTTGGTGAACGGATCATTTTCTAACAAGATTCCCTCTTCCTAATCATAAATCGACATTCTAAAGATAATTACCGAACAAGATGACATGGTTTAAAGCCTCTTAAGCAGAGATAAGCTGACAAATCAGCATGTTCGCAAAAAGTTTTGTACATTATATTCTTTTCATTAACGCTTCGATGAAATACCCATCAAAATCCATGTTATCTACCAGTAGTGATGAGGGAAGATTAGGTGTGTAAGTCATGAACAGAGTTGGTCAAGTCCCTACTTATCGTTTCGATGCAGATTTAATGGAATACTGCGAATAAACGAATGACTAGGCTGTGGGGTAGATGATCTAAAAGGCCTTAAATATCTCCTGAAGATAAAACACAGATTCTTAGCATTCTCAAAACGAAGACAGTTCCGCCCTGTCCAGTAAGTTGCCACGATCGTAAAGTCGCCTTTCCAAACAGCATTCAACCCCAAAGGGATAAGATTACTGAATTAAGATACCCAACCCGAAACCCACTACAAGAGAATAAGTTCACTCATGAAACAACCACGATGCAAACAGAAAGCGAAGATAGTAAATGACTGAAAGAGAGCGAGTAAGCATTCCGTCCAACACGTGTCAGTTAAGTAAACATAGAATGATTACATGGCTAAACATATTCTGCTTGGTTCTCACATGACGGTGTTCACAAAATGTAACATCATCGAATCGAGGAAAACCGCTATGAAACTATGCAAAACATACGTATTGATCGGATGATATCTACAGCAGTAGCCAGTGAACAAGAACTAAAATTGGCGGGAATTTAAAATCTGTTGGTTTACTTCCCCAACTTTACAGTACTTCAATACATTTGATTAAACCATGTGTTTTTTTGAAATGAAGGCAAAAGGTTCCATTGTACTAAAGGAAATCTGGTCAGTAAAAACCGTTACTACAAAAAACGAATGGATCTGATCTGTGTGATCAGCAAGGAATGCAGTCAACTCGCGTCCTAAATTGATCGACGACGTTCGATCATGAACGAGTTTGTCGGACTGCTCAGTGAGCTCGGATTCGAACTGATGTTTCTCCGGCCATTCTTACAAAAAAAGGAACTTTCAAGGCAAAAGGCGAACGTAAGCAGTGCTTAACGTTTTCAAGTCATTCACTAATAAATCGGTATGAGGTATGAGATACCATTGAACAATGATAAATAGAAACCTTATTACGAAAAATTACGGAGGTAAAGAGGTCATTCGGAATACCTAGACGTGTTTTCCGAGAAAAAGTATCGAGGCAATCGAGCAAGCATCATGAAGCTCAGCTCAGTGAGCTCCACTCGAAAGACGAAAAGCACTACAATTTTCGTACCAGGCATTTTTTGCTAACCTCTAGAGAGAAACAGTCACAACCAAACCCGTCGGACTCTGCTGTTGCGCAAACTTTACCCCTGACAAGTATTCTGGATAGAACGGTGGTTCCAGCTTGCGTAATCCTTCTGAGAGGATGAACTCTTTCAGTACACTGCGATAATCTCTCTGACTTTCAACATACTACACGGAGAACGTCGTGAGTAAACTAAGACCTGTTTTTTGTTGGCAATGGAGGAACTTGTGAAGTAGCACAGGTGCATGTAAACCTCAGTTTTCTGTAATTACACCTTCATGCATGCATATTCAAACAACAAACCAGCAACCAGATCAATAACTGTAGTGGTAAACCAAGCCGTAACGATTAGCTTTAACAACAAGCGAGAACAGCTTTTGCAGTGGACTGAAATCAAGTACAAAAGGAATCAAATGACATGCACAGAACACACGCGAGTGTAGCGCGCAAGACCACACGAGGAGAAATGGCTCCACAATCAAGGTCACTCCTTATATGGTGGTTTGGAAATGGGCGGAGCTTATCAGATTCTAGAAATTCTGCATCATTGGGGACAAGAAGATGTGTTGCAACAAGTCTAGGCCGGAGATCAACAATGATCATGGGGCATAAAGGACAAGTCAGGTAATCAATACTAAACATGGACATGTACGATCTAAGTAGTACAGGTAATACGACCTAGTAACAAAGTGGAGAAGACGAAAATAATGTAAAATAAAAGCAGAAGTTGCTAAATAGTATGCATAAACACGGAATATTTTATACAACTGTAGTGGGCCGCCTACTACAGTTCGTCATCTAGACAGTGGCTTCAGTTAGAATGAGGTGGTAAACCACTTGGAGAGCATTCCTACTTACATCCTAATAAATGGCCTCAAGGGCAAGTGACAGATGACGTCCTGATCGGAATGAAAGTATGTTGGAATCTCGGATGATTCCATATCAAAACTAAGCTACTTTAATTTTCGTAAGACTGACGAGTAATTGCTGATGGCACTGTTAGGGTAAACAAACTGGCTGAGAGAACCTCAGAACGAGGGCTCCAGTTGTGCCGTGAGTAGCACGTGACCCCTCGGAAAAGGTAATCGCGGTTCGGTCTGGCCTGTGGTCCAAACCTTGCAGATATCTCAGCATCATTGCGGTTGTACTTACTTGGACACTTGGATGGCTCTACTTCACTGGTTGTGCGAACCCTGCAAAATTTGCATTCGTTTCTCTTACGCGCAATCTTCGTCCATCATGCTGGTCTGCGTCGAACATGGTAACGTCGCTCATCGTTTAGGAGGTAGTCCAAGAAGACCATTTCACTCTCTTGGAGTTCACTCCACTGTTCTTTTCGTCCATTTGTTGTCTGTTCTTCTTATTATGTAACCGATCCATCTGTGTTCCGCTATTGATGTATATTTTCCTGGATCCCAAAGATGGGATGGGTTCCGAAGATGTGAGTTACGCATTTTGCCTGGAAACTGTGAGCGTCCGTTAAATTTCAGAAGACATTGTTCAAGGGCTCTCTAGGTGGTGCGCAGATTTCTTGACGTGGTTGAAATATCAGCATACGTTGCTACTGCATAACAGAGCACTGGGAGAACTGTTGAATCGAAAAGCTGAGTGCGGAGTTTTAGGTTCGTTAGTTGGCCGGTGGTTCGACTGGCCGAGTGCGGCCCATGCAGCTCTCCTTCTTCTATCTAATCACTTCTTCACGTTGTTCCCCATATTCATAGAACGTCCAAGGTGCCCGTGCGAGGTGGTCTCTGTAATCAGAAAACTGCCTTGCTTAATTTGTTAAACCTCCCACTATGGGTTTCTTATGAACTAGGCCTTCGCTCTTTTTATGTAATGTCCAACTTTTTTTTGCGCTTCGTTGTATTCATTGAGCATAGTCTCTGATCCAGTGGTACATCTTTGAAAAGGTGACGATGTCGTCCGCGAGACGAAGATTCGATGGGATTTTCCTTCAATAGGTATGCCCTTCTCGCCCACTCGAGTAACTTCATTATCAGAAACAATGCAGCAGTAAACACCTTTGGCGATATTGTATCGCATTGTCGAACCCGTTTTCCTATGGGTATGGTAGAGTGTCGATGAAAAACCTTCCTGTATACTAGCGCTAATAGACCGTTATCGAAACTGTGGGACAACTATAATGTTATAATAGTGGTAGTAATAATGATAGTAATAACAACAGTTCTAATAGTCGAGAAACCGATCCACTCACTAGTAATTTTGCCACCAACTTTTTAAAAATAAGCTAAAAATGAGCGCGACCGGAGCACTATTGTGCACCACAGGGATAATCGTACCACTACATTCTGGCTGGATATTCGGTTAATCGCTGTAAGCAACAATACTCATCGTTTTGAACAACAATACCATCTATTTCTTTTGCTTAGTAGAAAACCCAGCCCGGCAAACGTCCATCACTAAATTCTGCATTAGAGGAGTGCAGATGACACCAAAATTTTCAAGTAGATGATGTCGTGTCTTCATAGCTACTTTCTTAAGTACTTATATATCTCATGATCGCATAAAGTCCGAGTCTTAGTATATACTGTTTTCGTTTGGTTACCTCGTGACTTCCATCCATCAAGGAAATCTGGTTCGTGTGTGAGTTCAGTCACGGAATCAGAATCTGCTCTTTTCTCTCATCACAGGCATGCCGAATGACAATTTCTTCACAAAGGGTAGTCGTCAGCTATTATGATTCGGAAGAAGGTTTCTCACTTCCTAACTGGGATTCTTCAAAGACGGCTGCGATTTTTGTAGCTTTAGAAAGTAACGTCAAATCGATTAAAAAACCGACCGACCGAGAAATACGAGAGCGGCCGAATCCTGCCTTATTAATATAATCATTTTTTAAAACTTATTACTTATTGCCTACTTTTTTCAACGGCAGGGTATATTGCGAAATACTTCTATGATGCTGAGATCTTTGCAAAATTC